TCCAGGCTCCATGTTCTCATCATCCACTTCATGATCAGAAAACCAGGCTTTGAACTGTGAGAGAACACCTTCATCAGCCCCAGTCACCTTGACCACACTCCCAGCCTCTGCAAACAGTGGATCATCCGAAATCTTTTGAACCACATGGTCCAGGTCATCTTCACCTGAAACTGCATCAACATGAGGCTCTTTCCCACCAACTACGTTCGCACCTTCTTCCAGTTGTTCCTTCTCCAACAAACAACTGCCCAAAGCCTCATCTTCATGCACAATAACTTCCTTCTCCGTTGGCTTATCCCTCTCCATTGGCTTCCCCCTACTCACTCTCTAGGCATTAGCTACGTCAACACACTGTGACATCAGCTTATGCATTGATTTCATAACGTCAACTAATTTCAAATCCATCATAGCCACCAACTTCGGATTAATTCTATCCAACACCTTCAGGAAAGCATAAATAAAAACTATTAACAACTGTCATAGGACATGTCACTTATTTTATAAAATACAGAGCTACATATAAAACTATCATTGACTTGCATTATACCTGCTGCGTAATATTTTCAGCGTCTACCTCCGAACCTCCCGAAGAGTCAACGAATGCGGCTCCCCATACGCTACATCCAGAGACTGTAAAAGAATCAAACACAACAGCTTCAGTAGGGATGTATTCACATCAAATGAAAGTCAAACTAATACTAACCAACAATTTTCCGAAATCCCCAGATTCTTTTTTGTCCTCGCCAACTGCCTCATTGATCTTTTCTTCGGACCATGCCTCTAGTCTCGGTCTCACATCCCAACTCATAGGGACACGAATTAGGTGATCTAGATAAAAAATCTACAAAAAAAGGACAGGATGGATGATTTAGTTCAACTAACCATTACAAACGAGAAGACTGCAAAATTTAATAAAATTACTCAAAATGCTTTTGGTGTACGGTGGCAAATACCCAATTTTACTCACCAACAAAAAAAGGATACAACCCCCACAACCTGCAACATATCTATCACGGGCAAATTTCTTTTGGAAACTCCTGGCTGCTACAACCATCCAGTTAAATACATAACTGCACCAGTCATACTCATCCGCTTCATCGTAAACCAATAACGACGGTACAAGCTTCACCCCAAGATGGCTTGTGTTCGCCGTAGCACACAATAAGTAGCCTAAAGCTGCTATGAGAAAGGCTATCTTGAAATCAGCCTTCTCGTCATTCGACAGCGGCAACACATTACCTTCCCCATCCTTTTGAATCAGTGCCCCCAAAGCAGCTACTAATGAAATGTGTTCATTTTTCCCAAACTTCTCCAAAATTCTGCTATGCTCTACCTGCTTATCCTCAGGAATCGTACACGAAAATTCCTTCGACCCCATGGAAATCCCAAGTACGTACTCGACCTGCACAGGTTTCAAAAGAAGCACACACTCATCTCCAAAAGTTATGGAACCATCACCCATCACCCTTGTCAACAGCCAGTACACAAACTTCCGGGGTACAAAAGTCAGGGGTATACTTAACAACCCTCCAAAACCCATTTCTGTGACCAGCTTCTTCCTAGAGTCATCAAACTTCTTCACTGCAGTTGCAAAAGCCTTCACACCATGCAAATTTGGGGCCTACAACATTACATTCAAACAAGACAAACTTCAATCAAATGACACCGGCCCAAGCCTCACAAAATAACACCACGAACCGATTAAATTCCTTCTAGGTTACTCAAATTCTTCAATTCCAACTAATTCCTTTCTAGGTTACCTCAATTTTTTACATTTCCAACTAAATTACAACAAATTACAGCAACTGTCCTTCCATATAAACCAGCTAAATAGAAACTAATTATACTATCCCATTCAAATTACTTGTGAATATTCTATAAGGGAATTTAATCACGCACATCCAATTAAGGACTCACAATATTCATACTTAACTTACAACTCAACTACAATTTACAATTAATCTTTAGTAATTTAGTTTATTTACCGAACTACCTAAACAAAATAAAGGACCAACCACAGAACTCCCAACAGACATTTCCATGTCATGGATTTCAACAAATAATGTTCAGAGAGTACCTTCTGCATACTTCTTAATTGGGTTTTAACGAAAACCCCTTTCTCCTTCGCCACTTCTCCCTTCGTCTTCTCGACCTACACATGACATTACACATTTCATTTCTCCATCCAAGTATTACACAACAAATAAGCTTTTATCATTTCCATCTAACATGACATACCTTTAGCTTGCCCCATTTTCCTATCCTTTTCTCAATATGACCTCGCTTGCGCTTCCCTTTCTCAACCTTTTCCCGCAATAACTTGATCAGGAGATCCTAGTAGCTCACTTTTGTCTTGTTCTGGTTCTTCAGCACTACCTTGACCATCGTCCTCCGCATCCTCATCTTCCTCATAATCACCAGATGTGGAAACAGCATCATCAGAAACAGTTTCATCACTACTAGATTCAGTATAACCACGATCATCAGAAGCACCTTCATCAGAGTCCTTTAAATACTCAACCACAAAAACTGGATCAGATTTCAGTTTCTTCTTCCCTTTACTAGCTGCTTTCTTTTTAGGCACCTCTTCATTCACGGCTTTCGACCGCGCCTACACAAACACAAATATTTGCCACCAAAAATCAACTACAACACACAACCACGACTAAGCAAATCCAGCAAACACACAATCTTTTAATTTCAACAAACAATAACTCACCATTCCTGATCCCTTGCTCTTCCTCGACATTATTTCCTCCTGCCAAGTTCAAACGAATGCTCGATAAATGGGATTTCCCAACTACATAAAACCATTTCAACAAACCCTTAACTCTTCACATGTAATTTCTCCACTATATTCACATATACATACCACAACAGTCATAATTTCTTAATGTAACAATATCACTTATTCATAATTCAATACGTCTTCCACCACAAAACACTCAAAATTAATCACTCATTTACATGGATTCAAATTAAATTAAATACTTTAATTCAACACTCCTACCACCACACCCAAAATAATTTCGCTTGTTCATTACAATTAAACAACAACGGCTCGCAAATTTCCAATGGTTAACAAAGCATTACATAATCTAAATCATCATAACAACAATTTCATTTCATTCCAATTACGGGTTTCACATCCTCAAATTAATTCCAATAATAAAAATGAACAACAAAGGAAACCCTACTTCGCTATTTTCACTGGATAACCGTAAATCATATAAACTAAAACATCATAATAACAAATTCAATCCAATTAAGGTTTTTAGGACCACGCCCACTAAAATTTTTACCAATTAAACAAATGAACAACACAGGTAACCTAAATCGCTAAATTCACTGGAAAAACCTAAATTACACAAACTAAAACTTCATAACAACAAACAAAAGTCACAACTACAACATTTACACATAAAATCATAATTCGAGAAGTGTTTTGCGCCCATACCTTCAATCAAACGACGAAGCTAGTAGCAGCTACCTACAATTTACGCATTAACTACACCGCAGTAAACTTCTGCTCTTTCTCCGGCGATAACCACCGTCCTAGCGTCTTCGTTGCAACAGAGTATAGGACCTTCAGGGAGGAGAGAGAGTGGAGAGACAAACTAGAAACGGAGGAGAGAGAATAAGCTTTAAAGGTAATGAAATTGGTTTTTGAAAAATAACGGGATACAACACAGTCAGCCTTCCACTTTTTTTGTTAATGACTGGTAAATGGCGCTTATGCCCTCCTATACAATTGATATGCCCATAGTTGCTATGCGCTGATATGGACTCATCAGAGATGAGAATTTGCAAAATTGTTGACGTGCGACGAGATTAGAGAAATCGAAATAGAGAATTTGCAAGAGGAGAGAGAAAATGCAGAAGAAGAGAGAGAGAAAGAAAATGAAGCTACATATGAGTTAGGACGAAGGTCATTCAACGCGCAAATTACAAAAATGTCCTTAATGAGGCCGATGGAATGTGAGTCGTTAGATTGAACGAGATCTACGGTCCAGATGAGTTCCTAGTTCCTATTATAGACCTAGGTTCTCACATGATCTTGATTCAATATATATATATATATAATATATATATATAATATATATATATAATATATATATATATATATATATATATATATATATATATATATATTAAAAAAGTAAAGTTTAGGAGGGAAAATTCTCTCCAAAACAAAAAACCTCTGCTTTAGTATAGTTATATATACTACTAGTCTTTACTAAGTTTGCAATTATTATAAAAGGGATGAAAAAGAAAAGTGTTGCAATTATTAAAGTCAAACTATTTTCAGATTATTGATATTCTTTGTAAGAGGAGCTATGTTTATATATAGCTCCTTCCATTTTCATTATTGTCTATTCAATAATATTCTCTATTACAGAAAATATTAAAAAATTAAAAAAAAAAAAAAAAAAAAAAAAAAAAACCCCTAGTATATTTACTCCCAGAATATTAATAAAATGACTTGAAGATCTTTTTCCTCTATTCAAAAGTTGTTCTAATCTGTTCTGTTATAAGCCTGTCAATGGTGATTTGATCTCTTTTATACCTTCTAACACTGAGACATTGATAATTGGGGAGACCAAGCTTTGCGGTGGGCAAAGAAAACTAAAAAAGACCAGTGAACAAGGCTCGGATGGAAGTGAACATCAAGATCCTCTGTGTTTTGGGAACAGTAGAAGGATGAATGCCAAAGCTGAGTCTAATGTGAGCGGAGTTTGATCAATGGTGGCGATGAATGCAGCAAAGTCAGCATCTTCTTTACAAGGTTTTGGAATTGAGATTGCAGGGGAGCAGTGGCATGGCAACTAGAAGGGGATCAGGTTACCCATTGGAAAAGAATGGAGAAGATCAGGACAAGTAGAGAGCTAAGCACGCTTCGGGCCCTGCACCAAGCTATCACAAAAGTACAAAAAAAAATGGAGTTGCTCCACATCGTAGCATGAATGTATACTCAAGAACATACTGCATTTTAACAAAAAAAAAAAACCTTTGCAATTATATAAACTGCACTATGCAAACCGACATACACTAAGTTGCATATTAGCTGTACGATAAGCCTTTATAACTTAAAATAATTTGATTTATAATGTCAACAATTTAAACCACTAAATTTCCGAAAGTGTTGGTGCATGCTTCCAGGAGAGTTAAGTACTAGTAACTCGGCGACAACGACACCAAAATGCTGTTCCACCACTTCTGCCACGGGCCACTGCTATCTCCTCATCGACATAAAACCATATGAAGAAGGGATCTTTGTTGTTTGGCTCCCTGTTTTCTTGATTTCCTAGGCTTACTTGTAAAGGACTGAATGGTCCTAGTTTTATACGAATGCACTCAAAAATGAAAGCCAGTTTTCTATTCTTCCATGAAAATCTTCCTTCAAAGCTCAAACTCCCTAGTGGTCCGAGATACACACCATTTTCAATCCTCTTTGCCTGTTCATATGCAAGCTTAAGTCAGAGTGATAAGTTTGAGGTCCATCAAAGTATAAAATCAAAACGCACTTTCCTTCCATGATGGAAGAAGAACAATCATGGATCCATCATTCCACGCATCCAGCTTATTAAAATAATATCTTACTCTCAATTTCATCATACTTTAGAGGATAACAAGAAAGGAAGATAACAGTCTAACACGCAATGCATACCTCAGCGTCAAATCTCTGGACAGCAGTTAGAGGGAAATATCGTCCACCCTTGAGTTTTTTCTACATAACAATTTTCAAAATTCTGTAACTAGCTCATAGTCAGCACCTAATCATCTGTAATGCAATTACAGCAAAAATGTAGTTGTGTTGAGTAGACTATACATTAAATTAAAACTAAAATGAGCGTACTGCAAACCTCAGCAGTAAAAATGAGCATCCAGGTCTTCCCAGGTGATTTAGATCCTCCAAGTGTCTCAAGAAATTTCGAAGGGTCGAGTTTTGCCTTCTCAATAGTCGAAAGAGCTGTTAAAACTTTGTTTTTATCAACCTTCCTTGTTTTTGCAGCATTCTTCAACACTTTAATACCTTCTTCTACTTCCTAAATTGAATTTCAACATGTTACCTTGAACAAAGCATCATGTATATCCATTCACTCAAACCCGAGTTCAACTATTCAGGCATTAATTCTTCTGCAACAACACTAATTGCCCCAACCAAATGAATCAAAGTATACCCACCAAAAAAATATCAGGAAAAGATGAAAAATAAAGAGTTTTCCCGAGAATAAATTGCAGTAGGAAACTAGGAATACAAATTGAGTGACAAAATCAGCATAAAACAATTATTTTTTATAATTACAAAACTCAGCTATTCATCAAGAAATTATCACCCAAGAAAAAAAAGAGAGAGATATTAGTGAAAGGCTCACTTGGTTGGGCTGATGTAGCTGAAGAAGAGGAGTGGAAGAAGTGTCATTTCCAGTATCTTCAACGGATGCTCTGAGCTTTGTGAAGGTCGTAAGCGACGGAAGGCGACACAAGTTCCATTGATTGGTTTTAGAAAGAGTGAGACGAGGAGCAGCCCAAGTAGAGGATGGCGTTGGCTGTAATTGTAACCACATCATCTGTAATGCCATCTCTACTTTTGTGTTGCCTCTCTACCTGGCTATCATGTAGTGAGTTAAAGTATTTTTTCTTCCCCTTTTGTTATTTAACGCTAGCATTTGCTATACGTAAACAATCAACAAAGTGTTGGTTCATTTGAAAAGATTATTTGTTGGTTCATTTGAAAAGATTCTTACTTAGAGGTTGAGAGGATCGAATCATATCATATGTACATGCTTGAGGCAGGAATTCATTTACCTCCCATATAATCCCAAATGTTGCAAATAACTAAAAAAAAAAAATCGTGAGAATTGAGGCCTAATCAATTTTCTTATTATTTTTAAACAAAAACTATACTTTCTCTATTCTTTTTTACTTGACCTGCTTTTGACTTTTACACCACCCCTCATTTGACCGTCTTTTGTGAATTATATTTAACGAAAAACATATTCGTGTGGAATATTTTTAAATTCGTCTCAATAAATACTATCATAATATATAACTTTAAAAATTTTTAGTTATGGAGAATTAAAGTTATTGATCGTTAAAATTTTGCATTGATAAGCGTGATAAAAAAAACAGATCAAGTAAAAAAGAATGGAGGAAGTAATATGTCAACAATTCTAAAAATTAAATGTATTAATTAACTTTAAAATTTGCAATATTTAAATAAGTCACTTTGACCCTAATATTTTAATATAAAATCAAATATTAGTACTTCCTCTGTTTCTTTAAAATAAGTGCAACATGTTGACTTTAATAGTGTTCATATAAAATTGTTCGACCATCATTTGTGACTTTCAAATTATGAATAACATAGTCATGCGTGGTCTTGTCTCGACATGTGCTTTCCAAATATCAAAAATTATAAACTTTCAATCAATCAATATATCTATATTTGTAACTATAATAATAATTCTTTGGGGTTTTACCCTTCTCATACATACAAATGAGAATGGAGATAACAAATGGCCATACCAAAAGCCGACACCTGGCATCCGACTCGGTTGTAAAAAAAAAAAACAATTTGAGCATAACACGTGGCCTAAGAGAGGCATCAAATAACGAAAGGCTCAAAAGCCCATAAAGCAATAAATCACATATAACGGCGCACTTCGAAGATGATGGAAATAGAGAGCTAAGATGACAAATAGTTGCAAAATTCCTAAAAGAGAATGACATTACAAGTTGAAAATGCAAAATTAGAGAATGAAGACCTAAAGAAATTTCAGGGTAAGAGTGAGGAGGGAGAGAGAGACCAAGAATTTATGAAGGTATTAAAATAGAGCAAGGATAGGAGGAAAAAAAGAAAAAAAAAAAAAAAAAAAAAAAAGTGTTTGGGGAAATAAAGGAAGTTCCTTTGCATGTATGCACCTTGTACAAATACTATTTGAAAAAGGAAAATCACATTGCTACAATAACACCGACTCTTGATAACTTCCAATAAACATATCAATAATCACTCTCATCTCTTTAGCTCTAATCTTTTTAATGTTGTTTACTTAATCAACCCTTTTATAACCAACCTCTATTAGCATTACGATTTTCATTAATTGCTCAAGAAATACTATGTTGTTATTGCATATAGTGATTACCAAAGACAACCGCAATTAAATTCCTAGAAATTAATTTGGCCAAATTGGGGGAGGGGGTAGCGCACTCCCACAACTAGTTCAAAAGAAAAGTGAGTTACAAAGCATCATAGCAAGACAGCGTTGAACCCCTACCTTGTTTGATACACAGCAGAAAAACCAACTGTTATTTGTTCATGAGAGCTTCAACATACTCAAAGAAAAAGAATGTGAGACATTGCAGATATGCAAGCAAAATTTGTACCTCTTAGCAAAGGGCCTTTAGAGAATAACCTAATTGCAATTATCTAAAACCAAGCTGCCCTAAATAAAAAGATTAGTTGATGCTTTATCATACTTAACTATGAGCCAGATGCGTCGGATAGGAGTGTTGATGGCTGTAGAGAAGGCATCACCTCCTTATCGCGTTGTTGACCAACAAGACAACAAATGAAACACCTTTTGACCTTCAGTATGTTCACACCATTCTTATTACAAAGATTTTTTATGAAGTGATTACTCCATAGCAAGGGTAACATAAGTTGAGAGGGAAAGGCCAATGAGATGCAGTACCTGCATGGCATACAAAGGGGTGTGAAATTGTTATCACCAGATAGCACTAACTATTACAAGTATAAACTCAATTAAACTTACTGAAGCCCAAGTCATAAATAAGAAACTAGATTTATTCATTAACATATAGGCTTCATTTGTTTTGACGGAAAACAATTTCCAAGAAAGTCATTTTCTGTGGAAAATAATTTTCAAGGGAAAACACAACTGTAAGAATTATTTCCTTTGTTTTCCTCACAAAAAATATATAGCGGAAGAGAAAAAAGAGAGTAGAAGGATGAAGATGGAAGGGAGAAGATGGAAGAGAGAAGAGGCAAAGGATGTTAGGGGCAAGGAGGAAATGTCTTCTACTCTAGGGATAACAATTTTCCACCTATGGGAAAATTATTTTCCACACTTTCCCAACCTAACACTGGAAAATGGAAAAATGATTTCCGGAAAATGTCTTCCATCAAAACAAACGGAGCCATAGCCACCACTATGATACATAATTATAGTAAGCTAAAATGAATATCTAGAAAACAAAATTTTAACAACTAAATAGTAAAGGTAACCCTGAAGGAATGAATAAGAGACAGGTAAAAAACTTAACAAGTATAAACAGACTTAGTGATAAACGTTAAGCCTTTATTGGGAAAGCAAGGTTATACATTAAAAAATAAAAAAAGAAAAAAAATCTATATCCATGTACAAAACCCCAAGAGCAGAATTTGCAACCCTAGACAAATGGTAAGCAAGAAAGCTAATCCTAAAATCAGGCAGATAAGTAAGCTGCAATCAGATACAACAGTAGAAAGCTACAATTTGTAGATAGTTTCAAGGCTTATCAACAAATTAATCTAGAAGTTACATTTCATATTATGGTGGTTCTTCAGTTAAAAACCCTTCCCCACCATTTTCATCTTCAATTGAGTTCACATATCCTGAAACTAACCTAAGACATGATAGATACGTCCTCTTTTCCACAAATATTGCAACATTTGGATTTTTACACTATTCACACTCTCCTTTGACCATCTATTGTAATGTATAAATAAGAAAATATTTAGTCATGTCTCAAATTCGTCTTGGATTATACTTTTTTAAATACCTGGATATTATAATTACTTATTGGGAAAAATATATTAATTTTTAAAACTGTGCGATGGGAAGCATAAAGCTCTGATGCTGCAATATTTATAGAATGAAGAAGCGTGTAAAAATATTGATTGCACATTTTGTTTTGTTTTTTTTTTTTTTTTTTTAAATGCCATAATACGCCTATGATAAACAATATAAAACACAAGAATCAATTAGAAAAGAAGAATCCTTAGTCTAAGAAACATGGAGGGTGGAGGACAATTATAGTCTCATAGAACCCTTAAAATGTTTGTGAATGGTCTTTATCTAGGCCACTACTACATGTATATTTATTTTCAATCATATAACTGTGGTTTGTCGTTATATACTGAATTTAATTTGATCAGGATTCGATTTTTATTGGAGCCTGTTAGAGAAAATGTGGAATTCTGAGATTCAATATCATGCATTAACTCAATGCATCAAAGGAGCTCAGACATACAAGTGGAAACATACTAAAAGGTCAGAAATTGAAGCTAAAGCCATAATGATAATACATAATCACTGATGTAAGGCTACAGAGTTCAGTTAGAAATTTAGAATATTATTATATTTTCACAAAAAAATATGCAAAAAAAAAAAAAAAAAAGAAGCAAATTGTGATGTGAATAATCAACAGAATAAATAAAATAAAGGGACAAGTTGTCAAATGTCTCTCCGTCACTTGAATACTTTTCACCAAGATTCCAAGGAATAGAATTTCAAGCTTAATGAAGAAAAAAGATGCAGGACTCAAGAATGTGGGTAAGATTGAGTATTAAATAAACTCTAGAATGAAGTTTAGGAAGATAGGCATGTCTAAGAACTTTTAAATCGATGAGAACAATAAAATGCACCTACCTCCACCCCCATACAAAAAATAAAATAAAATAAAATCCCCATGAGTGTCCATAATATGTGAGAGAGCCTCATTAGAGCTATTCGTCAAGGGAGTTTATATGAGTAATTGACAACAACAGGATTTCATTTAGTTTGTTGAAATAGCACAAGTCTTCTCAACCAATGGTCTCATTACAGTACAATACAACCATCCAAATACGAGGTTCAAAATTATAAACATAAAACCCTGGACTTGTAAGGAGTGATGGAAGAGGCACTAGGATAATGCATAGCAGAAAGCTTTGCCCTACAAATCAGATTGACCGAAATGCCAATCCTCTGAACAAACCGAACTTGAGGGTATCACAAGAACCCGGGTGAAAAAAAATATATGTGTCCTATCGTAATTGGCTTTTGTATGTTGTGAACAACTTAATTAACAAGTGGTAATTCAATGAATGTTGAACTTCATGATAGGCTATGTTACTCAAACATAAAGTACCAGGTCAAATCCTTGAAAATCCTACATGTGTTTGGACACTTAACAAATTCATTTAGAACCAAAAACATGAAATTATCTGAGTCTGACAATCATACATATACTCGTAAATGAATTAACAGGTCTGAGGTTATATCTTACATGTCAGGAACTCTTGAAGCTGATCATACAGATTAGACTGCTAATGTGCATTGCAAAAAACCACTCGAAGACAAATCAGGACTACCAACCCAATAATCATCTCACCTCATGCTGATGGATGACAAAGTTTTACGCTACCCCAAGTCCCCAACCCTCTCCCTTACCCGAATGAAGCTTAGACAGCCAATGAGTTAAAATATCGGTACAGAGCACTCATAGGCTGACCAGTAGCCCAGTAATGCAAACTTCAAATTTTCTTTAAAACATAGAGATTTCATGACCACTTAACACCAAATTAACAATTTCAAAACACACTCTTCTTTACGTAACTGACAGGAACAAATCATAAAAAGGCCCAACCGCACAATCTACACATTATGAAAGCCAGTATGGATATTTTCACACTGACTGGCACTTTTCTTTTTCTCTATGCAACATTATAAGAAAATCAAAAAGAAATGAATACAAGAGGGTGAAATTTACCATGTATACTCCAGCCATAAAGCAGCTGAACAAAAACTAGATTAATATGTTCGCCGCATCATATTTTTTGGCTTCTTTACGTAGCTCAAATGAAGCTTCCTGAGGTTTTTCCTTTTCAATGCCATCTTCTGAGGCAATGTCAAACGCTTCTTCCCTTTTTTGATAACCTTTGGCTTCTTTTCAAATCTGGGATCCACCTTGTAAACCTTAGGCTCAATTGGAACTCCATTACGAACAGCTTCATTGAAAAGAGCCTTAGCTTTTTCAGCATGATTATGAGCATACAACTTTTCAATCAATAGGTCATAAGTCTGGACCCCTGGTTTACACCCATCCACTTTCATCTTAGAAAAGACATTTAAAGCAGGATCAATCCTCTCTATTCCACAAAGGATCTTCAAAAACCCATAGTAAGCCTTCTTATCAAGAGCATCACCATACCCTGCCGATTTCATCCTATCAATCATCTCGTCTCCCTCCCCAACCCTCGCAGCCTGATACAAACTCCTAGTGAGGATAAGAAACGTCTTTGCATCAGGATGACACCCCCACTCACCCATCCTATGAAACAACATCATAGCATCCTCTGTATTACGGATTTTACACAAATTCGACATCAACACATTAAAAGTCTCAGTGTTACGGGGCACACCAGCCGCATCCATGTCAACCAAAATGCTATCAGCCTCAGACTGAACCCTAGAAGGATCCTTCTCCCTACAAAGCTTACAAACACAATCAAGGATTGCATTATACGCCACCGTACCAATCTCAAATCCGCCCCTATACATCTCCCTAGCTAACCTCCTAGCCTCCTCAAGTTTCCCATCAACACACCACCCTTTAATCAACACATCACACACATACTCATTAGGGAAAAACTCATTAGCAAGATTCTTAACCATTTTCTCAGCATAACTAGCATACCCATGATCACAAAGCTTAGTAACAATATACTCTAACGATTGCCTATCCCTAGAAATTCCATATTCATTTTCCATTCTATCGAAAAACGACACCGCCTGCGTCGCTCGACCGGCCCGAACAAGACGGTCGATCGACGCAGCGAATGTTTTAGCTCTAACAACACCATTCCCATCAACAAGAACATCATGAATAATCTTAAAATCCTTCCTTCGACCGAAATAATCAACAAAATAAGAGAATACCTCATCAGTGAGCTGAAAATGATCGGATTTGGAAGAAACCCATTTGAAGAAATCGAAAGCAGAGCGACCAGCATCAGGAGAATTGTTGAGAATCTGAAGAATCAAGTGAGAAGAGAGAGTAATGTGGGAGAAAGAGAGGTCAAGGCGTTGAGAGAGGGAAAGAGAGTCGGGTTGTTGAGAGGGTTTAAGGAGTTCAGAGGAGAGAGAAAGGGCAATTTCGTCATTGTTGTGGGAGGGTTCAGAGGAGAAGGATCTGAGGGGGAAAGGGAAGAGAGAAGGAAGATGGTGGTTGTGGTGGTGGGGGGTTAGTGAGGGAGATGAGAAATGGGGTTGAAGGGAGGTGAGAGAAGGTGGAGGAGAGAGAAATGGTGAAGAGGAGAAGTGGCGGAGGTGGAGGAGACGCCGGAGATGCGGGGGGATGTGCATTGTTGGTGGTGGGGGAGTGGGCGGACTGCGGAGGAGGATTTGAGTGAAGCAAAGCAGTGTTTCTGGGGTTGGGCCGTTGGGGGTTCTGTAATTGTTCTGAATGAAAGATAACTCAGTCAAATGTCAGAAACCCTAAAACAAAAAAAACGAGTTAATACATGTTACTTTGAGCCGGCCCCCATTGATCTTCAAGATTAACATATTATGTTTATCTTCTGTACACTTCGGCAGTCCTTCGTCCACTTGTTATTCTTTGGTGGAAGAAGTTGCGCTATTGTGTTGAAACATTTATGTAATAAATGTGCTTATAAATATTTTACATGTTTATGTTGTTCGGTGTTGTATAGTTAAAACGACATAGTATAATTATCTAATGTACTTAATAAGTTATAAGTTGTGTAACTTAAGTATATTATTGCCTATTGATGGTATTAAACGTTTATGTTTTAAAAGTAATGTTTTTTAGAAACATATCTTTTAATGAATATTAAATGTTTAGGTGCATGTTAAAAACAATGTATTTATCTTGAAAAAAAACTTATCTATAAATAGAGAATGTCGCATTTGTGAAATGTATGTCATGGAAAGTATGTCATTCTCTTGCTTCTCTCTTATAAGTTATTCTCGAGTTTTCTTCTAAGAGATTTGTGATAAGCATAAAACACAAACCATTGTTAAACTAGCCTTGTAAGAACAACCAAGCCTAGTTGGTCTTCTTTGTATCTCAATAGTATTACCGTGTTAACTCCGTTGTTCCAAGTGGGTCGGTAAATTACTATTAGGAAAGCGGCATTCAGTTACGTGCCTAGAAGAACATACCTGGTTCACCCCACGTTACTTTTCTAACATGTTAGCGGCAAGTGGTATAATTAACGCCAGCTATATGTTAACTCTGTTTGTGGCTTATGTGACGCTGTGATGATACAACAGTTTACTATAGTTTACGCTGTTTGTTAACCATGTTTGTCATTATCGTCACATTTATTACTCACCCTCATGTACTGGTGGGGCTGGTCTTGGGTTCAAACTTCAAACAGCACACCATGAACATCTGAATCCGATTCCTTGGTAATCTGAAGGTCACAAATTAAAGGACAGAGGCAAGACAAGGTTGTAGCTCCTCGTCGTGGTGTGGTTTCAGGTACGTTATACATAGATCTTTGTAATTTTAGTTTAATATCTGTAAAACTATACTATGGATTGATCTATTACGTCTATCTTTGTAATTTTAGTTTAACATCAGTAAAACTATATTATGGATTGATCTATTGCATCGAATGGAAGCTTTTTCTATGAATGATGCTTTTTTTCATATGGGCTACATAATTCTTTATATTATGCATGTAGTTTATGCTTGGATCACGTGTAATTACAAATTCTTGGATCTAGAAGGATGTTGTAATTTTAGTTCAGCATACGAGGGTCGATTGAAAGATGTTTTGTGGGTCGATGCTCATTGTTTAGGGTAAAAATACCCTATGCCACGTGGCCCAATAGCATGATGACACGTGGTAGCCCACCAGAGGCCCACCGGGATCCAATTGGATGCTGACACGTGGCATCGTACCCTCAATGGGGGAGCAGATCCTCATCTGCTATAAATAGAGGAAAATCCTCATTTATTACACATTCATAAATACATACACAAAACTCGAGCAATATTAATTGTTGAATCTCTCTGAATCAGTGAGAAAAACCCATTTACTTTTCGCACGTTTACTCATCCGGAATCGTACTAACTTGGTCGTCGGAGGCGAAACTCCACCCAACCGGAGTTTCGTGGTTTTGCAGGTACAAAAGTCAGGCGCGCATACTCAGTATTGTAACTCTCCCGAGGGACTAAAAACACCCGAAACATTTGGCGCCGTCTGTGGGGAGAGCACTACTAAGATGGCTTCCGACACTGTACCGAATACAGAGGGTAGCCGGCCTACGACTGACCCTGAGGTCCATACGGACCATGAAAGTGGCAGTGGTGACGACTACGAAGTCGAAACCTACATGGCCCCAGACAGGTCATTTCGTTCCAGGCGCACCCGTTCCAAAAAAAAGAAGGAACGGGGCCAAGGCAAAATTGGACCCAGCAACCCAGGCGGCAAGCCTGCTGGGCAACCTCAGGCGGCGGAGGGTAGTGCCCCCGTCACCAGAGACGAACTCATGAAATTCATGACGAGTTTCAAGGGGGAGATAAAAGACATAATCAAGAAGTCAACTAGCCCCAGCAAGGGTCAGTCGGCAAAGAAGGCTTCTGGGAAGAAACAAATAAAAGACCGGGTGCCTACTCCTCACCCCAAGCCTAAGGGGACGGATGGGCCCCTGATCGACCTTTTAAAACTTTTTTTTCCTGAATTAGGGCAACGAAAAGCCATCCGGCATACACAGCCGAATGGGTCCAAGAAGACTTTCTCTGACGCCCGGATGTTCATCCAGGAGAAGAGAAGTCAGAGCATGTCTCAGTCGGCGTTAACGTCGACCTACCCAGACAGTTTCCAAAATGCTTCAATGAAGCATTCGGAGACGCAACAAGGGAGTCAGTCATGCGGTGTGTCTGCGCGTACTGGCCCTCACGTGATTCAGCAGGCTCCGTATGTGCCCCAACAGCAATACGCCCCGTATGGATCTCCATTTCATGCAGTCGGCTCCCTTTGGGGGTCAGGCGGCATATCAGGTCCAGCTTATGGACTGGCAGCTCCGGTTGCTAAACCTTGGGGAACAGCCTTCGGCTTCCTCCCGGGAAATAACCGAGGCGGTACAGCCGGCCAAGGTTAAAAACGTGTTGGTTGGTGCCTACGACGGTACCACCAACCCTAAAGACCACCTAATGGCATACACCAACCTCATGTACCTACAGGGGTTGGATGATGTCGCCTGGTGCAGATGTTTCCCGGCTACGTTGAAGGGCATAGCCCAATGATGGTTTGGCAACCTGCCAGCCGGGTGCATCAATAATTTCAAGACGCTTGCATACCTGTTCGCGTCCAACTTCTCCATGAACATCCCTGCCAAAAAGACAAGTCTCGACTTAGGGGCTATTCAGCAGGGTGACAAGGAGGGACTTCGGTCCTATGTCAAGCGGTTCAATCTGATGAGAATTCAGATTCAAGGGCTGTTTGAAAAAGTTGCATACACATAATTCTTCAAGGGTCTGAAGGACGGGTCAACTTTCAAGTTTGACCTGGTCCGCAAGAGGGTTGCTACCCTCCAGGAGGCGCTGATGGAGGCCGAAGCCTATATACAAGCGACGGAGCTCTGTGCCGTCAAGCACTCGTCAGAACCCAAGAGGTCCGACAGGAGAGACAGCCGACCTTACCAGCCGGCCAAAAAGGAAGAAAAGAAAAGAAAAGAAGTCTGGGCAGCGGACCGCTCTGGTCAGCCGTCCCAGAAAAAACAGAGGAAGTTGGAACTGTACGTCCCCAAGTACGAGTTCAACAAGGACTGCTCCTCCATCCTCATGGAGATAAAAGACCGGTTGACCCTTAAAAATTGGCTGCCATGAAAAGCTCTGTCAAGAATAGGGACAAGAGCAAGTACTGTCAGTTCCATGAGAATGTCGGCCACGACACCAATGGTTGTTATAACCTCAGGCGACTATTGGACCGCCTGGCTGACGAGGGGGAATTGAAATCCTACCTGGTGAAGTCCAAGGGCAACCCCAAGTCAAATGGGGGACAAATGTCAAAGAAGCCGACTACCAGCTCTGAAACTGATGAAGAGCACATCTTCACCATAGCAGGCGGTTTCGCAGGCGGAGGTTCTACCATCCGGGGTACTAAGGATAACATCCGGAAACTGTCTAACCCAGAGGATGAGGGCCAGGCGTTGAAAGATACCTTCCCTAAGGTCTTCATCTCTGAGAAGGCTTGGGGCATGGTCAGGCGGCCCCACGATGACCCTATTGTCATCGAATGCAAGGTTGCCAATCAACGAGTTGGCCGGATCTTAATTGATACCGGGAGCGATAGGGAGTGATACCTCTCAGACGTCAAGCCAACTGCTATTGCAGCCGGCCACAATGAGGAGCCCGTCGACCTTGACAACGAGGAAGCCGCGCCTGCTCCCAAGGCTGCCGGTAAAAAGCGAAAGGCGGACCAATTGGCCCCCGCCAGAAAAACAAAATAGAAATCACTAGCCAGGGGAAGGTCGGATGACTCCCGACCCCAGCCAGCTAGTGAGAGTGTTGATGTCGTCCTGGATGACAGCCGCCCTGACAAAACAGTCAAGGTTGGGACGGTTGCTTTTGAAAAGTTGGGGGCAGACTTGCTCCAACTTCTGAGAGAGTTCAAAGACATATTTTCCTTTGAAGTGGAGGAGATTCCAGGCGTCAGCCCGGATCTAGCCGTCCACAAGTTGGCCGTTGATCCCAAAATAAAACCGGTTAGGAAAAAGAAGAAGGATCATGGCGAGGAGAGGTCTTAGGTGGCAGTCGCTGAGGTCAAAAAGCTCCTGGATGCCAGGTTAATTCGGCAATGCTACTACCCGGATTGGGTAGCAAATGTTGTTCTTGTCAAGAAGCCGAATGGTACTTGGCGGATGTGTGTAGTTTACACAGATCTGAACAAGGCATGTCCGAAGGATAGCTACCCACTTTCTAAGATCGACAGCCTGGTCGACTCTACAGCCGGCCATGCCTTGATGAGCTTCATGGACGCCTACTCAGGCTTCCATCAGATCCCCCTATGGAAGAAGGATCAGGAGAAGACGACATTTGTCACTGATCAGGGGTTGTACTGCTACACGGTGATGTCGTTTGGGTTGAAGAATGCGCCTGCTACCTTCCAACGAATGATTAACACGGTTTTCATCAATTAAATCGGAAGGAATGTAGAGGCGTATATCGATGACATGATAGTCAAATCCAAACTACAGGCGGATCACCTAGCCGACCTCCAAGAGACCTTCACCACCCTAAGGCGGCACAAGGTTATGCTTAATCCCAAGAAGTGTGTTTTTGGTGTTGAGTCTGGGAAGTTTCTCGGATTTCTGATTGATCAAAGAGGCATAGAGGCCAATCCGGAAAAGGTACAGGCGGTGATTGACATGAAGTCACCCCGCACTGTCAAGGAGGCCCAGAAGCTAACCGGTTGCCTGGCGGAATTAGGAAGATTCCTTAGCCGGTTAGGTGACAAGTGCCTTTATTTCTTCCAAGCAATCAGAAAGAGGTCTAGATTTGAATGGGCAGAAGAAGCTGAGGTGGCATTTCAGAGGTTAAAGCAACACTTGCACTCTTTGCCAAGGCTAGTAAGTCCCCTGCCTAAGGAGGT